AAAATGACACAAATACTACAGTGGAACGTCAGAGGACTGTTGAGAAACCTCGACGATATCCAGGAACTTTTACACAAACATACACCTAAAGTGCTGTGCTTACAAGAGACACACCTGAAACCGAAACACACCAACTTTTTACGTCACTACATTATCTTTCGGAAAGACCGGAATGATGCCATTGTGCCATCCGGTGGTGTTGCCATTATAGTCAATCAAGGGATTGCATGCACACACCTAACATTACAAACATCTCTTGAGGCGGTGGCTGTTCGAGCAGTTCTAATGAATAAGCTCGTCACCATCTGCTCTCTATACATACCTCCACAACACCGTCTCGAAAAGCATGAATTCGAGTCCCTCATAGACGAACTTCCAGAACCTTATATTCTTCTGGGAGATTTCAATGCACATAGCAATCTGTGGGGTGACTCTCGCTGCGATGCTCGAGGTCGCCTGATTCAACAGCTTCTTTTTTCTTGCGGTGCATGCCTTCTGAATCGGAAAGCGCCAACATACTACAACATTGCTAACAATACGTACTCAGCAATAGACCTCAGCATAATATCCCCATCACTCCTGCCTCTACTTAAATGGGAAGCTATTAATGATCCATATGGTAGTGACCATTTTCCTATCGTTATCAGCTCATCAATAACAAATACATGTCCTGCACAAGTTCCAAAATGGCTCACCGACAAAGCTGATTGGGGAAAGTTTCAAAAAATGACTTTATTATCTTGGACTGACATGGCGGCATTGAGCATAGAGGATGCTGTATGCTACTTTACAGCTTTCTTGGTTGATGCAGCAGCAAAATGTATTCCCCAAACATGTGGACCGTCAAGCAACCGACGAGTCCCATGGTGGAATAATGAGTGCCGTAATGCTCGGAAAAAACAAAATAAGGCATGGAGGTTGCTTAGAGACTCGCCCACAGCCGAGAATCTTGTAAACTTTAAGAACGTCAAGTCGCAAGCAAGGAGGACGCGCCGACAGGCGAGAAGAGAAAGTTGGCACAAATTCGTATCGGGCATTAACTCATACACAGATGAGTCGAGAGTCTGGAGCATGGTTGGTAAGGTGGCAGGACGAGAAGCACATTCGCTTCCTCTAGTGAACACACAAGGGGAGAGTTTGGAAGACCAGGCAAACACTCTCGGAGCGCACTTTGAACAGGTCTCCAGCTCAACACACTATAGTGAAGCGTTCCGGCGATACAAAACCGCAATAGAAAAACAGAGATTAGAGCGCAAGCCCAGAACACATGAGGCATACAACGAACCTTTCTGTTTTGCTGAACTGCAGGCCTCACTTGCCTGCTGCAATAAATCTGCCCCAGGCCCGGACCGTGTGGCATATGAAATGTTGAAACACCTGCCCACTGAAACCCAGAAAGCTCTCCTCTCTCTCTATAATGCGATATGGTCTTCTGGCGAGCTACCCTCAGCCTGGAAGGAAGCTATCATTATCCCAATTCTAAAACAAGGCAAGGACCCGGCCTCAGTTTCCAGCTACAGGCCAATAGCATTAACCAGCTGTATTTGCAAAGTCTTTGAAAAAATGATTAACAGGCGCCTGATGCACTTCCTTGAAATTAGTGGCCTACTTGACCCATACCAGTGTGGGTTTCGAGAGGCTCGGTCCACCACTGACCACCTTGTCCGTATCGAGGCACAAATTCGCGACGCTTTTGTTCATAAGCAATTTTTTCTTTCTGTGTTTCTCGATATGGAAAAGGCATATGACACTGCATGGCGCTTCGGCATATTGCGAGACCTGTCACATTTAGGTGTGCGGGGTAGAATGCTGACAGTTATCGAAAGCTACCTGTCCAACCGTACATTCCGTGTCCAAGTTGGCACTGTCTTATCTCGAGTATTTGTCCAAGAAACAGGAGTGCCACAAGGAGGTGTATTGAGCTGTACACTTTTCATAGTTAAAATGAATTCCTTGCACGTGTCTCTCCCACGAAATATTTTTTACTGCATATATGTCGATGATGTGCAGATTGGTTACAAATCTTGCAACATCTCAATGTGCCAACCTCAAGTTCAACTAGGGTTGAACAAGGTATCTCAATGGGCAAATGAGAATGGTTTTATACTCAACGCGCAAAAGAGCACTTGTGTCTTGTTCAGCCGAAAGAGGGGCCTCCATCCTGACCCCGACATTGACCTGCATGGTCAACCTCTGTCAGTGAAGACCGAGCACAAGTTTCTCGGTCCCATATTCGACACTAAGCTAACTTTCATCCCACACATCAAGTATTTAAGGGACAGGTGCTTAAAAACAATGAACATTTTGAAAGTGTTGTCACACACTACATGAGGAAGTGACAGGAAATGTTTAATTAACTTATATAAAAGCCTCGTACGCGCACGCCTAGATTACGGTGCTATAGTCTATCAGTCGGCAACACCATCAGCTTTGAAAATTCTCGACCCTGTCCACCATCTAGGCATTCGCCTCTCTACGGGTGCTTTCCGCACCAGCCCTGTGGAGAGCCTGTACGTGGATTCGAATGAATGGTCGCTCCACCTACAAAGATGTTCCCTGTCCTTTCTGTACTTTTTGAAGGTGAAGGCAGACAAGAAACATCCTTCCCATTTCACAATTAATGATTTGTCTTGTTCTGGCTTGTTCGAGAACCGACCTTCGTTTAGGCAGCCCTACGCGCTGCGTGTAAGGAGCTTGGCCGAAGGAACAGGTGTGCCTCTTCTTGAACCCTGTTTGATGGCTCCTGCAACATATCTGCCACCGTGGCAGTGGCAGCTTATAGACTGTGATGTTTCTTTTGTTGATGTCACAAAGCACGCACCACTTGCACATATACATACATACTTTTTAGAACTACAACATAAATACACATGCCCTGAGTTCTTTACTGATGCGTCAAAGTCAAACACTTCTGTGTCATATGCAGCAATAGGCCAATCCTTTTCTGAGGCCGGCGTTCTTCATCCTAATGCAAGCATTTTCACAGGAGAAGCTTACGCAATACTGGCGGTCGTAAAACACATTAAACAAATAAAATTACAAAAGGCGGTAATATACACAGATTCCCTAAGCGTGGTCAAAGCCCTGAAAACTCCTAAAAAACACAAGAACCCCGTGCTGGTGTCACTCTACTCACTTATGTGCACACTCTACGCATCAAAACAGCATGTCGTTGTCTGCTGGGTTCCAGGGCACCGTGAAATACAAGGGAACGTTTTGGCCGACAATCTGGCTGCTTGCGCCAATGTCACTACTGCCAATGCACCAACACCAGTCCCTGCACTTGACTTAAAACCTTTTATAAAACGAAAGCTCAGGGGGTATTGGCAGAGCATGTGGGATAAACAAACAGATAATAAACTCCATGCTATTAAGCCGCAACTAGGTTATTGGCCGCCACTATCAAAATCACGACACACGGAAGTAATACTAACAAGGCTTAGGACTGGACACACACATTCTTCACATTCATTTCTTCTGTCTACCGGTGATCCACCATATTGTGAGAGATGTGGAGAGCCCCTTACGGTTCTCCACATTCTCGTCCAGTGCAATGAGCTAGATGCTCTAAGAAAAAAGCACTTTTTACTGCCCTACCGACAGCAGCTCCCTCTACACCCTGGGATGCTCATCGGTAGGGATCCGCTTTTTAAACTGCAAACACTTTTTACATTTTTAAAAGAAGTGCAAAGCTTTCACCCGATATTTCGAGGTCATCCGTAGCACGACCTCTATAGAGTGGTCGTGGCTGCGGTGACTATATCTTCATCATGGTTTTATTATCATGACATTTTGCCATCAGCTATCACCACACATATGTCACGCCACTGTCATGATTTTATTACTTTCATGTTTTAACCCGCGTTAGGGCGAGGAATTTTAAGGCCCCTTTACAGCCACGCACCATATCATTGTTCATATCTGTAGTCAATTGAAATGGCCCTCTTTGGCCATCAATTGGCCCTTGCGCCACTAAAAACTACTCATCATCATCACTGCAGATCGCTGCGACTCGGCCAAACGCGTTTTTAACCGGCCATACACCAGGCGCCACGCTCTGCTCCACTGACGTCAGCTTTTCCAGCTGATCTGATTGGCTGCGGAACGTGCAGCACAGACTGCCGGTATCGGATTGGCGGCGGGATTTACGCATATGCGGTCTCACCCCACATCATGACGCAGGCGCCGTGAAGGCGGAGCCTAGCCCCGAGAGCTCGAAGGAAGAGTTAAATGCAGTTGAGGTTGAAAGGCGGAGTGGAGGAGGAGGGTACTTTTTTAGTACTCGTAGCTACGTTAATAATGGGTGTTTCAATTGAACTCTGGTGCCAATGATTTGCTCTAGTAGTGGTCTAATCAAAAACGGAATGTGAAATGCCGTTTCAGGGACCTTTTAAGCTCTGCATCACAAAAATTGCTATGCATGGTCGCATTGGTGTATGAAGCACCATCCAGCCGCCGTACTTCTTGACTGACACTCGCAGGCTATTTTGCTTATTGCCGGAATAAGGCGCATGGGAATCGTACACTTGAGCATTATACAGATCATCGCGGCGACGGCTACGCCAGCGGCAAAAATCTACCTTAAGCGTCTCCATGTGTTTTTCCGTAATATAATAATGATGTATTCGCAGAACTTGCGGCTCGTTATTGGTAGATTGCAGCGATTGTGCCTGTGTGTTTAGTCCCTCTCTTTTTCCATCGTCATCTGCTACCCCCAGTGAAGGGCAGCATCGAACATTTGTTGCATTCAACACCTTTTTTTATTATGCGTCCCTTTCTCTCTGACAAGATATCATTATACCTGTTTTATGTCTGTGTCAATGAAGTGTACCTGTAATATGTATCACAGGTATATTTTACGCTCATTTATCTTCTTGACCCACTTCATCGCTGTATTATCGTGCGTACTGGGTTATCGTGCAAATGTCATAATGAGACGAGTTGCCCAATAATACGTTGGAGGACTAGTAGTCACAATAAAATTGACTGTTTTTTTTTAGATACCTCACCTGAAGGAGTCCATGACTAAAGCTACTGTTTTCATTGGAAGAGAGCCTTGAACAGGACAAGCCTGCATACGAAACTTCTCTAGCAGCGTACGCCCTCTCTCTCGGTGACAGTCGCGTCAAGAACGACGCACTGCTCAAGCTTCGCAGCATTCTGCGACCAGGCCAAGGTAATGAGTGCCACAAAAATCGTCGCGGAAAAGCTTGCGTCAAAATTTTCCCCAATCTCAAGCCAGTCTCAATTGACGAAATCGTGCAGAGACGAAATACTCAAGAGTCCCACGTGAAAAACGAACATGACCGTTCTGAGTCATACTTGTTCTGAACCATACTGTCGAGAAATATTGTTGCTGCCGAAAGGTCCACTTTCGGGGCTGTGGCAACATCACCCCCATGAAAGTCTGGCATGTGCGCAGAAATAATGTTTGCGCGTGAACTGTTCTTGACAGCACATGCCAACCGATCGTGATGTTAGACATCGCGATCGTTTGGCATGCCCTGTCAAGAACATGTGATATCCATGTGTGGGCGCAACGCCACCTCCATACGTTGACATTACAGGGTATGGGGCGAGAGACTGGTGCAAGGTCATTCCCATACTTTCACATGATAGGGAGGGGGGGGAAGGGGGCATTGCGACTACCTTTCGGCCTCCCTGAAGCGAAATCCTGTGCGCTTAGGTCGATAAAGTCTACTGTACAATTACTGAACAGTATGACATCGCTAGGGTAAATGTAAAGCTGAGCTTATTTATTTATTTATTTATTTATTTATTACGTACTTCGGATCTATTTACCAGGCCTTCGGCAGTAATGAACATGAAGAATTCTTCACTGCAAAAGCTAAATAAGCAGCATCACACATGCATAGTGACATCGGTAATAATTGCGAAAGTCTATATGTAAAACATGATATACAATGCAAACAGCATATATTGAAACATTTTTATAACAGTTTAAGAAATGCAAAACTAGAACGTTACAACATATATCATAATTTTGCCCACTGACACGTATTTAACACAAAGGGAAACATTGCGTGTCTCTGATAAATGGATGGTTATACTATCAGTAATGGCAAAAATTGTTAATGTTGTTCAGCGCATTTCGAAACAAATCAACTGTTCTACATTCAAAACCGACTCTTGTAGGGTATTATACTTACGGGTACTTATCTGAAAGAATGTGCGTGCGCGTACTGCTTCATGTGCTGTGTTTGTCTCTTTTCTCTCTCTCTCTCATCTCTATCTTTCATCTCCCCCATGCCCGCACCATGTGCAGGGTAGCAAACCGGCTGCCTATAGGCTGGTTAACCTCCCTGCCGTTTTTCCCCCGTATTTTTTCTTTTTTTCTTCCGAAAGAAGGCAAACTTGAACGGATCTGTCTGGTTTACGTAATATTAAACTTTCTTTGAACAACATGAGCGCGCAGCACATTCGCTTGTCTGCGTAATATGCATTGCTTCTTTAATTCTCGATTTGCCACGAAAATTGCGGTAAAAAATTGTCCGCTTATCTCCGCGCTTCGCCGCAAATAACGTTGAAAGACGACAGGCCTTCTGACTGTAGCTCTGCTGAGATGTAGCGCCATCTGGCAGGAGTATGAATGAGCGTCGTAAATATTGTCACGGAGATGAAGTAAAGGAAGAGGAAGAGTCACAATGGCTGATTGGCACCCTCGCACACCTATCAGCTGCTTGTGTTCTTCCTCTTCCTTTACTTCCTTTATATCCGCTTTTTTTCGCGTAGCGTTGCATTGTCAGCGCAGCGTAGTAAACTCTTTAATGTTCAGAATCACGCATCTACGCAGATTCTAAATAAAAACACACAAGCTAATACTCACGTATTGATTTGTTCCTCAAATATGCGTAATATTTGCTTTTTTGATTGATAATGTTCACAAGTATGAACGCAGCCACCAGATCAAGATGAGTGGGTTTTCAGCACGGGCTTAAACTTTCGCCGCGTGGCTGAATCGTTGGACAGATACCAACAGACAGACCAAAATTTTTCGTTTAAGTATACCAAGGAAGACTATCGTCGTTTAAATGTTGATGCACTCTAAAGCCTGCTAAACGGTATCCACATAATCGTATTTGTGTAAACCTTTGCAGATGGCGGACTGCACGTCTCCGCTGGCAGCGAACCCCTGTCCGTGCAGGCCACTTCGTACGCGCTCATGGCCCTGCTCGAAGCCGGTGCGAGCAGGAACGACATCACGCCCCTTGTGCAATGGCTGAACTTACGCATGAACCCTAGCGGTTCCCTCCGTTCCAGTCAGGTATGCCATGTGCACACTGTTGAATTCAATACGGTGACCCTCGATTCAATTCCAGTGTAATATTATTTGATCTTGCAATCTCGGGGAGTTGTTGGAGGCGAAATGGGGTGAATCGTACTCCAGAGGAAGTGGTTCGTAGAATATATGATAGTATAAGCATTTACGACAAGATATTTATGTGGAAGTATTTATGAAATGACGTGCCATCTCGTGTATTTTTGATAAAATTTAAGCATAATGTGTGCCTATAAATGTGCACTTTCAATGAATCGTCCATTTTCTTGTTATTTTCTTGTCATTGTATTCAAGAACGATATGCCGTTCTTATGCTGTCAAATTAAGTTTAGCCATATTCACTCAAGCTAATTTCGCAACGCTTTCCAGGTTAAGCGTCTGGCACTTCTTGAAAGTAATTTAATTAAACTCTTTGGTAATGTGACCAGTAGCACACCCCAGCAATATATGTGACGTCTCGGCGTGTTGGTGCTGGTAATTGAATTTGACGTCAACAACAGCGGTTACTTTTCGTGAGTTTTCTGGCTTACCAAACGTATTGTCGTGACAAGGGAGGTGCTTTCGATATCATGAAAAGATGGTTTACTAAGGCTATAGCAATCGTTTCTTTTCTTTTTTATGGCACTTGCTTATGGCAACGTAGGGCTATCTGAGCTTCCGTGTCGCCCAAATAACGCCGTAAAAGGTGTGACGAAAGCCTAATAAATAAAATAAGAAAGCTTTCCTTTCGTTTGGACGCGTCGGCAGTCACGTGGCCAAACCCCGTGAAATAACGTGCGCGCGTTTGCGCTGCCTATCACTCGCTCCTCTCACTTACAGTGGCTGTGCACGACGGTAGACAACCAGGTCCTGGCTGATTGTGTGGGTTCCCGCTACCTCTAAACTAACATAAATTATCCTCAAACTCTGCCTATACAGTGCATTTCACGAAGAGCAGCCATCAAACTGGCACCGCTAAGGACACCTATATAATTGTTTATCATCAGTATCTCATTGAAAAGGCAGAATTAAGGCATAAGGATGCCTCAAAAACGAAATGCTTTGTTGATTCAGAATCCCGCGTTGCAGTACACAGAAACGCATGCATACTTTCTCTCCTTTTCTTTCTTTTTTTTTTTACTTTGATCTTCTCATAGGACACTGTTGTGGCGCTACAAGCACTGTCCAAGTACGCCATCTACGCCCGCAACTCGGGCATCGACTTGACCTGCAAGATAACGCGCAGCAACGATCGGAACTTCATTCGCACCGTGCGCATCAAGCGAGACAACGCGCAAGTGCGGAACAGGATAGAGGTATGTATGTAGCACACCAGCTTTGATATAACCAAAGCACAAAGCGAACGGGAAACTAAGGGCAAACGCTGGAGAGCAGAATACACAACACAGACAGGCACTCCTAAACACTTCCTGCAGCGAAATGCGTGGTGCTTTACTACTCTTGTTATTATCTCGAAAGTTCAACAGAAAAACTAATACTAGGAAATGAAGTGGAGCATTTACCATTGGGTTGTTAGTGGAAGTTTTTTATGTGTATAATAAGGCTTTTTAAAATCGAGCCATTGCCGTAGATATCGAAGCATTTTGAGTGATATACTTTCTTATGGTACATATTTATATTTTATCATTTTGTTACTATACCGATGTTAATTCGCAGGCAATGTCGCATTTGAAACGCGGCTAGCTTGTAAGCCTCTCAGCTTGAGTGTACATATACGAACATAAATAACATTACAATATATTATTATCGGCGTACTCCTAAAAAATACGCTCCTTCATTTGTTCTCCAATGTCAGTAAGGGCGACGTCAGACTTTCATGCTCTGTGAGTTTGAGACCAAACCTCATGGTCATGCTTTACAGCACACAAAAGTACATCAAATGGCATGCTTGTGAAAGAGGTTACCGCTTATATATTAAAGTATATGCAGCGTTGTAATGCATATGCGGGTACAGAAGATTGGCAACGAAATGGGATATACAAGTTGTCTGAGTACAAAGAAGTGCCTCAAAGAGGCTGACCAACGTTTCGATATGTGCAGCTATCTTATAAAAGACGCCTCATGACGTGCTAATTTTTTCGGCGTTTTGTCAATGACGTCTAGTAATTTAGTGTCGTTCGGTCGGTGTCATGGGGTTTCGCTGTCGGGGTACAAAACCGACACGGAGTGTCGCCGCGACGCCATGTCATGTGACGAAATAAGATTTTATTTCTTCCTAGGGACTCATTTTTTTTTACACAGTCAAATTATTCCAAAAGCAAATTACGCTTGGGAACGCTTAGAGGCCATTCATTGTTGTCTACAGCTGTGTCGTGTAGCGATGTCAATTTGAATGGATTAAAGTGGAATAAAAATCACTCTTTTCATCGGTGGCATCCGAACCAACAACCTTCAGATTACTTGCCGATGCTATACCAATTGAGTAACGACGGAAAGCACTTCCCTGTCCACTGTATGTGTAATTCTTGGGAGTATTAGCCAAGGCCGCTTGTAGCGAAGCGGCGCTTGTGTAACAGTCTATCTTGCTAGAAGGCGTCACCTAGAATGGGATCTTTGCACGACGGGACAGCTGGGAAATAAATCCTCGCATGCTAGTTTAAGCCGTAGCTAATAATGAATGAGAGAAGATGATTTTGTCGAGGGACTCGTTTATTGTTTGTTTGTTTGCTCGTTTGTTTGATTGTTTGTTTGTTTGTACAGCACAACCAAATGAACCACACGAACAAATACCCAGGAAGTGTCATCCCTGAATTACCTCTTCGAGACTAACACGGCAAGAATAAAGAGGTCATACTCCTACTCGTGTTTAGACAACATGTATGTTACATTGAACTAGTAGGAACTCATTGTAGTAAAGTTAAAAGAGGGCAGACTTGGACACAAGAGGGAAAAACAAATTTTTGTAGTGAACAGTATCTACATAAAATTTAACCTTTCTATGCAGTGTGCAAGACACGTTGTTATTTACACGTTGTTATTCCTACTGATCGCAATCCTTTTCATGCAATTTGAAACATTCAGCTTCTCCAATTAAAGACGATAGTCCGTCAGGGGACCTTCGACGCAAAAATTTTGGTCTGTCTGTCTGTACATTTGTCTGTTTGTCTTTCCCTAACGATACTCTAAACGGCACCAAATGATACTTCAAACGGCCTACCCCATCCGCATCGCCACCCAATATTGCTCAAGGTTTAGCGCTCATAATTGTGGGATTCTCAATTAAAAAGAAATTATTGCGCATATCTTAGGCATCATAACAACACGTCGATATTCTGTATGAGCGTCTTTTTACTAGAAAGGCATACATAAGTAATTCTAAGGACCGTAGTGCTTATCACGCTGCGCTGACAATGCAATGCTTGCACGAAAAGGCAAGTGTTTCCAACCCGTCGCTTTGCGTTCTACACCTTATCTTCTCTGGGACGGGCACGCACGCCGCGCGCTTCGTTTTCCAAGATAAGTGCCAGATAGCACTCATGTCTCACGTGTGACGTGACTTGATGCCATTCACTGATTCTCTTGCGCAGAACATCAAATATACGTTTTGTTCACTCTCTCCAGAGACAAGACTCGTCTTTCGACGACATTTTCAATGTAACATGCAGATACGGGCCAATTTATATTACCTGTAAACTTTTCAACTCGCTCTCGTTACACAGATCCCGGAATTCAATGACCAGGTTTTTGTGAATGTGGAAGGATCTGGAACTGCAACCATGTACTTCGCCACCAGTTACCACGTCCCTGTTGATAGTGCAGACTTATTGTGCAAGGTACGGTACGCTTTTCTTTCCGCTTTCGATTTCATTAAAGTAGAAAGGTTTACTGCTATCATATTATTGGCACAACATCATTCTGGTTAACTTTAAATTTAAAAATATTGCATATGCTTCAGTGCTTGTTTATTGCAGCGTATTTCTCCGAAAGTCCTGACATAGTGCATATATATATATTGTAGAGAGGAAGAAGAATATGTGCCGCAGTGGGTCACGATGACCATCGGAGGCTGGGTCGTACCTTGCTGGGTGTTTTCTTCAGCCATCTCGGGAATGGCAGGTAGTTTCCTGTTGCGGAGTTTCAGGGTGAGTTACCCAGCACCTCCATCTCTCTGAAACGGGGTTTATTGGCGCAAGTAGTTCTTGCACAACAGGTCTATTGATGCGGAAAGCGGGCGGCAGCAACCGACACAGGAAACACAACGCTCGGGGGAACAGCTCGCGCTCGGCTCCTCTTGCTAAAGGCGTGAACCACTGCGGTACATATTCTTCTTCCTCTCTACAATATATATATATATATATATATATATATATATATATATATATATATACACGATCTCTTTTGCTTGTGCAACTTACCATCTTTCACCTGATCTTAACGTTACAGTTGTTTATATACGTACCAAAGCGCTAAACCCTGCTTGCGGGTCTCAATACATGCTTTAAATCGGCGCTGAGCAGCGCCCCCACGACGGGAGGCAGGAAATAGCTGGATTTTATTTATTTATTTTTCTTGAATCACTCTCTCTTTTTTAATGTATAGCGGCTGCTTTATCTGACAACAGAATTATGTGTAACCGTACGCTCAAATTTTCCAGTCAGACCTCGGGCTTCATAATTTGCCCTTTAATATTATGGCGTACACGTATGAACCCCAAAAAAATATGATATGAAAGCGCAGAGAGCTTTAGCAGCCGGTAGCATCTTCGTATCTTCTGTGCCTGCATAAACTTCGATAACTTGTTATGCGTCCGTCAGAACTCGTCCGTCAGAACTCGCCCGTCACCATATCAGAATGATAGACAAATTTTAAGCAATCATTTCAACAAATGTCCATCTCACAAAGTAGCAACGTCGACACACTGCTGTGTTCAAATTTCACCAGCTCTTTTTCGTCATCCCGTCATTAATTCGCACTTTCCTTCATTTTGCAGTTTCAGGGTTTTCAACGCACGACACGATACGGGTGCATATTCAGGCTTTTTGTCTATGCATGAACACATGTAATGGACAAGCAATTAAACACGCATTACGGCAGTTAAGTGATTTTCTTGAAGTGTTTATTATGTTTACTTCGCTTCGATTACAGTTCGATCTCGACATAAAGTTCTGGCAAAACAAGGTGGACATGCAAAAAGCGCTGCAAAGTGAGTCTATTGAGATGTTGATATTTGCCACATCATCCAAACACGTATAATGACAATAATCCTATATGTCTGTGATGCTCTTATAAAATTCTTAGCGTAAAGGTCTATGTTCAAGCGGTAAGATGGCACGCATATGCCCTACGAAGGATTCCAAACAGCCTTACAAGACGGTTCTTGTTGTTTCTCATGCTTTCTCCGCCATCGCTTCATTCATACCCAGGTAACGAAAAACTCCGGGAAACGTACGGAATGAAAGTGTGTGCGAGGTAAGTTGGAGAATTATTTCTTTTAGAAAGAGATTCATGCTGTCTTTGCAGAATACAATGTACTAATCAAACTGGTTAAGGAGCTAACGAGCACTTGACTGGAGTATGAGAGACATTTGCCTCTACACCTTCATTACAAATTTCTGTGGCAGCACAGTCAAAGCTACGTGGACGGAGCCTCTGCACATGCGTAAATAAGCCAAGTAGTTCACTTACGCTGTGAGTTTGGTTCCGAGGTGCATTCAACACGCACGTTTTCGCACAAGCATCTAAGGTTTATGCTGTTATTTTGGAAGAGTGTTTTAAAAGACAGGTTACATATAGCTTTGAAGGTTATATAATGCTTAATTAGAAGTTATCACAAGCCTTCAAATACTCATGATGAACCAACGAAGGAGAAACACATGAAATCATTGCTGTGCTCTTCTGCCATTTCCATTATAACGGTAATCTACCAGTGGTTCCAGCCCGCTTGCAAATCGAGCACAAAATATGCAGTAATGCTTGCATTTGTTTTTTTATAAAGCAATTAAATATTCTGATTTGAAGGAACATAGAAACCAGCTTTATTTATGGGAGTGGCAAGATTTATTTTTAGAAAGAAAGAAAAAGGTACGGTCGAGGGGAAACTGCGTGATAGGATGTGCAACACAATGGCAATTCAAGATCGTAAATACAAACGAGTATAGAACACTCTTTTCTCGGTGAAGAACGCTGATTTGCACTGTCGACCGCATAACAGGCATGAATGCGCCTGCTGCCCGGGCGGTGCTTCGCACCGGCGATTTTAATTTATCCTTGAAAACCACTGTCATTATCACAAACCGCCAAGAACCACTCTCGCCATAAACGCCGGCGGGTACGGTGTTACTGTACGTCATTTTTAGCATGAATGTATCGGCAGAGTAGGCAATTGAAACATCGACTACGTATGAAATACAATTTATGAAAAAAAAGTCACAGCTTTGCCGCAAAAGCGAAGCAATAAACACGATAGCAAATATTTTAAAGGTCACGCGCAGAATGGAAAGAAGATCGAAACATGCTCCACGTCTCTCACGCACAAATGACGCACGCAACGTACTCACAGGTACGGATGCACGCGAATAAACGTCTCATTTGTTACTCCACTAAATCTGAAAAGCTCGCGCTTTTCGCGAACGGAAACTGCAATGATTGCACCGACCTTTGTGCGCCCGGTAACTACAGCAGCATTGTTTCATGTAGCCAGGCCAGCCAAAGCGTACGATCCTCCCCTCCTCGCCCCCGCGAGATAAGGGCGCGCGAAGGAGCATCGCTCCCCTCCTTTAAGCCGGGCAAAGAACGCGTATAGGAGATTAAAGCGGGCGCCGCTGCGCGATGAGGCGACGTGCCGGCATTGCGCCATCTTTCTGGTTATGCTGAAAACACAGCAGCGATAAATGGTAGATATAAATAGCTTGCTGTTCGAATGGTGAATATCGTTCTCCAAGTTGGCTCAGTGGTTAACGCCTCACTTTCACGTTGCCGAGTTCCCACGTTCGATTCCGCACGCCGAAGTGGTCTTTTGTTGTTGTTGTTTTTCTTTCTTGCGTTTTCGTATATATAGATACATATACATATACGGTGCATGACATCGACGCCGACGCCGGCGGCGAAATCCAGCCGAGAGTGTTCATATAACTGCTATCGCAACAAAATGTCTTTTTTTTTTACATACAGTTTCCATTCGCAACTTTGCTTTAAAGGAACTGCTCTTGCTCAAGACTGGCAGGTCACCGGTGTCACTTTGAGGGTGGCTATTGCGTTGGCAGACCTACTGAGCTGATGATATCACTCACGCACATGTTCTTTCTCAGTAATTTCACACGCGGAGAAGAAAATATTTGACGACGCACCGCTGTCTTCATTTCTATTAGCTCGGTAAATACAGCTAGATCACCTAATCAACACGCATTCATGCTCGCGCATAAGCTCTTATGGGAACTTGCAGCAACCGAGCGACGCCATCGTTGTTTACTGGTGTAGGAAAAGGCTAAATGGCACCAGAAAACCTCAAAACGAGAAACAGCAAAAAAATCTAAAAAAACAAGAATAGCACACGGCATAAGGTTACTTGATAACAATGTGAGCATGATAAGTACACATTTTGTGTTTATGTTTTCATTTATTATGCTACTTATAGTATAAATGCTGGCATTCGCGGACTCCATGTAGAAGCATAGTAAAACAGTGCGTGCAGCCAAGCATCGTAACCTTGGCTGTCCTTTTACAGAAAGTTGTCGCGGGGTATAGGTATCAGGATGGCAATGTTATTACTTGAATGCTATAAAGATTTGGGACAGCTACGGAACAAGCGGTGCGAGGACTGAGGAAGTAGCGAAGGCTTCGCTTCTTTCTTTTCTTCCTCCTCTCCCTCATATCACTCCTCCTCACTTTCCATTTCTCTCAACCTTGCTATAACACTTTAATTTTCTATATCTCACGTAGAGTGCTTCAAAAAAGGATATAAATGCTTGAATTGACGAAATGTACTCCAACAAGGTATCTTGGCTGGAGTCAATGCTTTGACAGGGCTAATTAGCTTTAACAAGAAAACTTGCTGAGACGAGGACATTTGTCACAGGTCCCGTTAATTAGGGAGGCAATCGCCAGGCTAATTCCAAGGGCCGAAGTATCGGCCCCCCGTACCGCACCACGAAAGCGTGGACAATTTAGAAGTGGTCCTTTTTGGCGTGCCAGCGGACGCCGGCTGTGGCCCAATGAACAAGTCAGAGCCGAGAGTTGATAAACAAACAAAATTATATTCTCAATAATGGCAGATCAAAAAAATACACAAGTATGCACACTCTACAATAGTTGACTACAATATGTCCACCAATCAACAACGTACTACACAGTGCAATCAGCCACACTCGAAACAACGGACACAGACAACAGTACGCATTACAATGCAGTCGCATGCATTGAACAACCAAGACACTTGAAGACTAAAGAGATAGAAAACCTATTCAGTCCGAAGTTCTTGGAACAAAAGTCTGGATGATACTCTTCCGAGAATCACTCACTCAAAGTCCAGCGTTGTTGTCGTTCCGCTGCCCCCGAAGTTTCTCTTCCAGGAAACCTCGCGTCTTCGCCCCCGAAGTTTCTCTTCCAGGAAACCTCGCGTCTTCGATTGGCCGCTCACCAAGCACCAAACTTCTTCGCCGGAAACACGTCGGCTTCACACACGCAGCTGTTGCCACGCGTCTTCGCTCGATAGCGGTAAACACACACTCTTGCCTGTAGCTCGAGTCGTCACCCCTCAGGTGGAAATCGTCTTCTCCTGCTTTGTCTCTATGGACAAAACCTTCGCCGACTACACGGCGGAATCTCTACGCGCTCTGGCGCTAACTTCCGTCTTCTCCTGAGCTCTCGTCTCGGCTGCTCGACTAAATACATTCCACGTGAGATTCCAGAAAGTTTTCATCATTTCGTCGGCGCGATGCTCAGCGAAGGCTGGGGGAAAGGTCGAGACGATACGAGGGCCGTCGGCGACGGATGACTCAACCCGGCATTACCACGCCTCTTTCCATCGAGAATTTTCTAGTGCTTGCTCGGCCTGCCGATGTGGGATGAAGAGGTTCGTCGGCGAACCTACGCTACGGAGGGGAGAGGGACGCGTGCCCGGGGAGTCTTTTGATGCTTGTTTTCTTTTTTTTATCGTTGACCTCGCGGCGTCACTCCGGCGTTTCGTCGCGAGAATTTGGCGGCGCCCCCTTTTTTTTGAGCGCTCGTTTTGTGACAACATTGAATAAGCTTTTGTGGTTCCAAAGACGTACCCTGTACGATGTCTTCTCCGATCACAAAGAGCTTCTTCATCATCATCATCATTATCATCATCATCAGCCTGACTACGTTCACTGCAGGACAAAGGCCTCTCCCATGTTCCGCCAGTTAACCCGGTCCTTTGCTTGCTGCTGCCAATTTATACCCACAAACTTCTTAATCTCATCTTCTGTCTCCCCCTAACCCGCTTCCCTTCTCTGGGAATCCAGTTAGTTACCCTTAATGACCAGCGGCTATCCTGTCTACGCACTACATGCCCGGCCCATGTCCATTTCCTCTTCTTTATTTCAACTATGATATCCTTACCCCCGTTTGTCCCCTAATCCACTCTGCTCTCTTCTTGTCTCTTAAGGTGACACCTACCATTTTTCTTTCCATTGCTCGCTGCGTCGTCCTCAATTTAAGCTGAACCTTCTTTGTAAGTCTCCAGGTTTCTGCTCCGTAGCTATGTACCGGCAATACACAGCTGTTATATACTTTCCTCTTGAGGGATAGTGGCAATCTACCTGTCATGATTTGAGAGTGCTTGCGAAATGTGCTTCATCCCATTCTTATTCTTCTAGTTACTTCAATCTCGTGGTTCGGCTCTGCGGTTATTACCTGCCCTAAGTAGACATAGTCTTTTACAACTTCAAGTGCACTATTACCTATCTCGAAGTGCTGCTCCTTTCCGAGGTTGTTGTACATTACTTTCGTTTTCTGCAGATTAATTTTAAGACCCACCTTTCTGCTCTCCTTGTCTAAGTCCGTAATCATGAGTTGCAATTCGTACCCTGAGTTACTCAGCAATGCAATGTCATCGGCGAAGCGCAGGTTACTAAGGTATTCTCCATTAACTCTTATCCCTAACTGTTCCCATTCTAGGCTTCTGAAACCTCCTGTAAGCACGCGGTAAATAGCATTGGGGAGATTGTGTCCCCCTGCCTTACACCCTTCTTGATTGGTATTCTGTTGCTTTCTTTATGAAGTACTATGGTAGCAGTTGATCCCCTGTAGATTTCATCCAGAATGTTTATATATACTTCATCTATGCCCTGATTCCGCAGAGTCTGCATGACGGCTGATATTTCTACTGAATCAAACGCCTTCTCGTAATCTATGAAGGCTATGTATAGTGGTTGGTTATACCCTGAGCATTTCTCCATTACCTGATTGATAGTATGAATGTGGTCAATTGATGAGTAACCTGTTCGAAATCCTGCTTGTTCATTTGGTTGATTTAATTCTAATGATTTTTTTTTTTACTCTGTTAGCAATTACCTTTCTAAATAGCTTGTATACTACAGAGAGCAAGCTGATCGACCTGTAATTCTTCAAGCCCTTGTCATCTCCTTTCTTATGTATCAAGATGATGTTAGCGTTCTTCCAAGACTCTCGTATTCTTCCCGTCAAGAGACACCTCGTAAAGAGGGTGGCTAGTTTTTTTTTTTTTTTTTCAAAGAGCTTAGAATATCCCAGAACTAGAGGGGATTCTGGCGCCGCCATCGTTCAGCGACCATGGGAATGATAAGTAGTGCAAAATTTACCTACTCTTCATGCTTGCTGGTTTCGAACTCACTTGTTGTGGCGTTTCGGCTTTGTTTTGAATAAATGAGTGGTCTGTTGTGAACTTACTGACCTTATTTGCATGAGCCTAAAAGATGTCAGGGCGATGGGCCCCTTATCTGGAGCACGCATGTTGAAAGCAGGGCGAGGTGAACACACACGTATTGCCCTGTGCGTGATGAGCACAACGTCACAAAAGCTACCGGGGGCAGAAAATGGCTAGTTGGTAAAAAGGGAGGTGAGGCGAGCGCGGGGGCTTTTTTGGCAATGGGCTACGGTGGTGGTCGGGCTAGGCACAATGTTTTTCCTCCAGGCGTGCTGCAGAGCAGAGGCCAGCCGGCTTGGGGTGTTCATCAAGGCGAGTCGTTAGCTCATCTTATACTGCGAGTTGCTTGCGAGTTCGTTTTGATTTCCTGCCGTTATGTTTCGCGCCTGCTTTCCTGCTGCTATGTTTCGCACCGTATTTTCCATTGACCGACAGTCCGCGGGGATTGTTCGCTCCGAGCTTTTGGTTCCTGTGGTATGCATTTGCGCCACGTTGTGCCGGTTCATAAGGCTTGTAAAATTTTTTTTCTGAATCGTGAATTAAAAGCGGTTCTCGTTTCCAGCGTTGCTGGCTCATGTGATGCGAATTCCGGCTCACCAATCCTCCTGAGGGGAGGCGGGGCCTTCAAAGGTTTAAGTAGCCAAATGCAACTGCTGAACATTTGCTGATAGTTGTTTCGTAATAAAGCAATTTCAAGCCATGCGAGGACAAATGGAGCCAAAAGTACGAAGATTAGGCATATTTGTGTACTCCCTATCATTCTCATGCTCGCTGAAGCGCCGTGCGTGGCAGCTCCCAGGGACACTAGCGCTCGAGTTCCCCCTAGTGTACTTATTGGAAAACTCGAGTACCTGTGCCACATACAACACATAGGTTATCTGCTTTCTTATAGGTCCCGGAATGACAACGTGAAAGGCATGGCCATACTTGACGTCGGACTTATGACAGGATTTAAGCCCATTACGGCCGACTTGGATAAGGTGAGTATTGCCTTCTTCATACCTCGTTGCGACCGCCGAGCAAAAAAGAAATGTGAAGTTTTAAATATGTGCCGTGCAATTCCTTGGTTGGAAAACGTTTGTTCGAATTACTCATGGTGGAACTATCCAGAGGCATTTGAAACAACGTATCTCTCTGGATTGTTTGATAGTAACTTGAGCTCTGTTTTTGACTGCTTACTTATTGTTTGGTGTCGATTATATCCTGAAGTCATATTTGGGCTGAAATTGGCTGTGCAAACGGAAAGTTCATGAATAATAACGTTGAGCACTTATCCCATGGTAGCCTACAGTAAAATATCGGTACAGATTGCGGAAACTGCCATCAGCTAATAATCGACCTTGCGACCACTTGCATAGCGGATGTGTCTCAAGGTGAACCATTACTTGAGATTTGCCGTTTATAACAGATTAGTGCTTCGCATATGTATATCACCCGATCTAGAGTACACAGTAAGACAGCAGTCACCCTTGTTGAATAAATGTATTTGGCTTCATGAGTACATTGTTCTGGGCAGCTTGAAGTTAGAGGAGCCACCGGATGAGCAGCACTAAAATCTCAGGTGACGTTAGCCATATAAGAGCGTGTTGAGCTATAGCTGATAAACGGCGCCACAGAAAGTTCTAATGGTGAATAGAGAGCATTACGAAGAAGTTCCCTTATTTTTATTATTGTTGAAATGACCAGCTTTTTCGTAGTGACATGCATAGTTTGAAACGGTACGACCATGGGCTCAGACAATCAAATGTTGTTCTCAGCTCGTCAAGAACAGAATCGTGGACAAGTATGAGTACAGCCAAAGGAGCGTGGTGTTTTACCTCGGAACCATTCCGGCGGACAGAGACGTATGCGTCGAGTTCGGCCTGGACCAAGAGTTTGCCGTGGGCAAGCTGCAGTCAAGTTCTGTTAAAGCCTACGCATACTACGATCCTGGTAAGCATCGATGAGCGTCGAGTGGTTTGCCGAACAGTTTAAGTAAAACGAAGAGCGTAAAAATTGTCAACCCCAGTGACGTAGCCGGAAATATATTAGGAAAGGGCTGGTTCGATATCTAGAGGCTAAGCTCCATACGGCCGAGCCTTGTTCACGTGCATCACGTACTCCACAAAACCGAAATTGAACGCTTGCCCTACGAAAAAAACGAAGACATCTGTGTGAAAAAACCGACTTATTCGGTTTTTTTTTCACACAGATGTGCACATTCATGTTCACATACACTTGATTCATGTGCACACAGTTTATGTGCACATGAATCAAGTATGTGACCGCACAATACATGATCAGCTGTGCTGTCCGTCTGTCCATCCGTCCGTGCATCGTATGTGCATCCGTCTTTCCATCTCCGTCCGTCTATCTGTCCGTCCATTCGTCTGCTCATTCGTGCGTCCGTCAATTTATGTGTCCCTCTTTTATACCAGTTGGCGACTTCAACTTGGACACTGGGAATGTTAGCATTTAGTTTCGCCCACTCATCATTCGCTTTGTGGGGATGCGTGGATTTCTGTCTCTTCATGAGTTGTCCTATTTGTGCAGGTTCTATGTTGTGTATATGTGTACATGGAGCTTTATATATATTGTGTACAAGTGAGCGGGAAAGAAGATGGTTGACAATCCCCCTCGTCTCCCCTGGTTACGTGTGTGGGGGGGGGGGGGGGGGGAGCGACAGAATATGCGCCAACAGTGCGCAGCTAGTTTAGTCTTAAGCATTACGTATTGTTACTACTCATTATTTCCCCATTAAATTCTCATACTTGTCTGTATTTTATTTTCCAGATATATTGTGCACTAAGTTCTACGCACCAAACAGCACAAGCCCTTTGCTTAAGATCAAGTGTGACGATCCGGGACAGTCAGATGTTTGCATGTGCTTGGAGGGTGAGATATTCGCATATTTACTGTAAACCACTGCGTTTACATATTAACTTTATTAACTCGCATATTAACTATATTCTAACTATGAATCTTGAGAAAGGTTGCAGGTAGTGTAACTCTCCTGGGTTTACGTGTGGATTCGTGCGTCTAGGTTTTCGCAAAACATTGCAATAGCAGTAAAAGCACAACCACTTATCATAATAAACACTGGGGCATTTTGGCTTGTTGATCGACAGCTCGGTTTCGTTTCCTTTGAGAAAGGGTTAAGATATGCTTGAGAAAGATCTAGCTCTATTGCACGTCTCCGTTTAGCCAAAGATGGCAGGAAGTGTCCACGCTTCGAACACATGCTTTGACAAGGAAGCCAGCGTGTTGCCACACACGCGATGTGGCGCTCTATGGGCGAAAAGACGCAAAAAACGTGTAGTGAATTTTGATGTATTTGCGCACGCAATCCAAACAATAGAAGCCACCGAATTCTCGCAATAAGTTTTCAAATTCACAATCTTTTTCCACCTCCTTGGATGCAGAAAGTGCCTCTTGCGGTGACAGCACGAAAGGACTTACCTTGCGTCGCTGTCCCTTTTGAGGCTCGCCGAAGCTCTTTCTCTGATGTTGACCTCGGCCGAGGGTGAAGGTCGAAATCGCGAAACGAGGTGTTTTCTGACTTTGTACCGGAAGTATAATAGTATCACTTATTGTACGACAATCTTGAGGTAATCCGACATCGGCAGTGCCATTTCAGTGCAAGCCTATAAATGAAGAAACGAGAATAGATCAAGGTCTCTTTTTTTTTTTGTAAGATACAAGCGTACTTAGCAACAGGCAATGAAGCAAAGGAATGTATATTGGAGGGGACTTTTTTTTCGTTTAGCTGTATTGTAGTATTTATGATATTATATGATGACATTGCTTTGCCGAGTAACTCGGGGCACGAATGGAAATTCATGTTTACTGAATTAAACTAGGAGAGCAGGAAAGTATAGGTCTTAGAATCAATCTACAGAACACGAAAGTACAGTACACCAACCTCGGAGGAGAGCAGCACTTAGAGATAGGAAATAGTGCACATGAAGCTGTAAAAACGTACGTCTACTTAGGACTGGTAGCAACTGCGGAGCCGACCACGAGATTGAAGTAACTAGAAGAATAAGAATGGGGTGGAGCCCATTCAGCAAGCATTCCCAAATCATGAATAATAGATGGCCACTATCCCTCACGAGGAGCGTATATAACAGCTGCATCATACTGATACTTACCTACGCAGCAGAAACCTGGAGGATTACAAAGAGAGAACGACGCAGCGAGCAATGGAAAGGAGAATGATCGTTGTAACCTGAAGGTACAAGAAGAGAGCAAAGTGTATGAGGGAACAAACGGGTGTGAAGGACATCGTAGTCGAAATCAAAAAGAAGAAATTATCATGGGCAGGGCACGTAGTGCTAAGGCAAGATAACCGCTGTTCAGTTAAGGATCACAGACTGGATTCCACGAGAAGGCAAGCGGGTGAAGGGAAGACAGAAAAATTGGGAGTGCAGAAGACATTAGGATGTTTGTGGATACAAAGTAGCAGCAGCAAGCACAGGGCTGAGTTGACAGGTGGAACATGAAAGAGGCTTTTGTCCTGCAGTGGACGTAGCCAGGCTTATGATAATGATAATGTATTATATATATATATATATATATATATATATATATTGCCAGGGCGGCGAGCCAAAGCCACAGCAATTTGGCTACCCCACTACTACAGAGTGCATGCACTTCCACGAACCATATTAATTCGCTGTTGATGGCAAAGGGAAGCTAGTTCGAGGAAGAAAGAAAATTACACGATCTCTTGCTAGTGGGAACCATGTGTATAGATGAGAAGCGGCGGGGATGATGGTGAACGGCACCTCCACAAACTCGCCTACGTAGCCTTAAGCAGGTGCGCCAACATTCGGAACATCTACGTCACTAACGCCCATGGTGACCATCGCTTGATGTCGGCGACCGCTGCCCTGAGCACTGCCGGTAACCAACGCTGCTGTTCACCGTGTCTCTAGCACTGCTCAACAGCCGGTCCCCTAACGCACACGCCAGTGACATCGAACGTGATGCCTCGCTAACTAAAGCAGACGCGCTCTGTCTCACGAAAACATGGACCGCAGCAAGACCGACGATCAATGACTGCGAAGTGATCGTGTGGCCCCGCAGCGGTGGTCTAGTGGCTAAGGTACGCGGCCGCTGACCCGCAGGTCGCGGGATCGAATCCCGGCTGCGGCGGCTGCATTTCCGATGGAAGCGGAAATGTTGTAGGCCTGAGTGCTCAGATTTGGGCACACGTTAAAGAACACCGGGTGGACGAAATCTCCGGAGGCCTCCACTTCATAATCATATGGTGGTTTTGGGACGTTAAACCCCACATATTGAGGTAATCGTGTGTTCTCGAGAGAGAGAGAGACAGAGGAGCGTATAGGAGGGGGTGGGGACGCATATGCATAGTGCGGGTGGACGCCGCGAGAGGGAATGATAAACGGATACAGCCCCTTCCATAAGCTTCTTCGCATCTGAAACTAGCAGTTGTTCCCTGTAAGAATACAACCACTGAGCGAAGCTCCTCACGAATGGGACGCAAACGACTATGTGCCTGATCTCGCTGCTGGCTTTTGCGAAGGTCTGCTGCGCTCGGTGACGGGAATGACTGAGCGAGGGAGTGTGCGGCGCGCTCAGCACAGAGCGAGCCAGCCCAGGCAGCGGGCCAACCACGTGCTGGGTGGGCGGCAGGGCGAAGCGATGGTTTCGTGCGTTTGCTGGTTTGATGGGGGAGGGCATGGCTTAGACGAAGAAAGAGGCAGACTAATCTGCCTCCATTTCGCATGCATGTATAGTCGCGCTTTGCGCAGCGTGCACACACAATCCACGTTCCAGCGCTCATAGAGCTCACACTCCCGCTAGAGGGGGAGACGCCACAGCCGGCACCGTGCCTGGGAGCTTCGACGGCGGCGACGGTGGGATGTGGGCTTAAGGAGCTCCGTTCCTGACAAAGGAGACGCAAGTGAGGCGTAAGTGGTTGTAGACCTATTTCACGTTTGTTTACGATGGGGTAGGTGCTGTCGACATACTGAGGCACTTGTAGCGACCAGTATGTAGCGACTCAATTGTAGAGACTCGGCGACACATGAGGTCCTTGTAGCTCAGACTTCGCCTGCGCGCCATGATGGCGGACGCACTGCAGGCAGACTTGAAGCTGGTGTGCCAGTTGTCACGTGATCATAAGCGGTGGTGGCGAGCATTGGGCTGGGTGGAGCCAGCGCGCCTTCTTGTCATTACAAGCGCCTCAGTATGTCGACGGCACCTATACCTGTTTACAAACATGGAATAGGTCTATATTATAGCATAGCAATGTGTATGAAAAATAAATTAGGGTTAGTGGTAGGAAAAAATGGAGGGAAGAGGGTAACGAATATTATATCCTTGTATAGTTTAGTACGGCCAGGGGGCGAGAATCGGAAGTGACGGTGGGGATAAGTAATGGGAAAGGTAAGACGAGAGAAAAGCTGCGATGAGAGGGTGAAGCATGGCATAGGTCTGTATAGTAAGTACAGCAAGAGGGTGGGGAGGGGAAGTGAGGAGGAGTGCAATAAGGATAGAGGGTAAAGCAGTACAATGTGCTGTATATAATTCCAGAGCAAGTGGGTGATAAAGCTAAGTGAGGGTAAGGAGGAGGGGTATGAGGCTCAGAGAAAATTACAGGAATGCAATCAGCTGCATAGGTGACTTGCGAGAACTTTTATTCTTTTTGTTTTTGATGTATGCTATTTATATAAGTCGCATAATAGCAGCGAAATATACAGAGGATCAGTCTTTCGCTCCGTTTTTATGTTAAGTATATGCCGTACCAACTCGCTCAAGCAACCACTTTAGTGTCGAGCAATACCACTTGTTTGTATATTATCAAGGAAGCTTGCACTGACTGCAATGCCTTTTGTTTCGACAGGTGGTTGTCCGCCAGAAAATGTGCCAAATATGTTCATGAAATCTAAAGGCGAGATTATCCCAACACCGGAATGCAGAGAAGAATTGAGATCATACGCCTGCGAAGAAGTTGATTTCGGTGAGCATTATTTCTCTCACGAGCTGCCGTCTCCTCTCAATTCTTCAAACTATAGCATCATTGCGGCTTGAAGAGCCCAGTGGTAGACCAAAAAAAAAGTAACGGCTGTTTAAGAAATATTTGCTGCGCAGCTCCAGCAGTGAGTGTCTGATATGTGATCCTGCTTTTTATTTCTATCACTGTAGCAATTCCCCACTCGTGACCAACTTGAATATAGCGCTGATTTCATTATATGCCCTTATGACTGTTCATTGCAAACCATTGTCTTTTTGTGTACATACCTCACCTGTTTTATATTTACTTGTTTGCCGATTTGTTAATTTAGCAAATGTGTATCCACCCTGCTAAAACCCTATGTTAGGGTTGCAGTATTCATAAATAAATAAAATAAATAAAATAAATTTATCTCAAAAAATGTTGTTGCCACGCTTTAAAAATATCAAAACTTCAAGTGATGTATTGCGCTAACTACTGCGATTTTCACATGCGGCACTGAACTGTCAGCTCTTAAGGCATTACGAGAGGATTGTCTGCTTGGCTTGGCAGAAATGGAAAACTCGGTGAATGTTGGACAATGTGAGAAGCAGTGACGCTAACTTCTGTTTCCGCAGTGTGGCTCGGTACAGCGCGTAACACAACGCACAAGGACGGTTTCATCAGCGCTCGATTCACGATCGAGAAAGTGCTAAAACCAGGTAAGTTTGCTAATTAGTATGCAAGTATTAGCTGACCTCCATAAAGGCTTTGAATAGCACACTTTTTCTTGCTGAATTACGTGTGCATTGACCAACCGCAACGAATGAATGTTGCAAAAATTTCGGGCACGCGTATGCATCCTATAGTCACCATGTTCCAATAACAGTGTAAGAAGGAAAGAAGTCGAAATATTGAGGGCTGGTTTTTTAGACACAATATAAATACCTGACAGACAACACTACCGTGAAAAGTATACAGAAAATTATTAGTAGTAAGTGCAATGTACCGTGCCAATTTTTATGAGAGGGAACATGCAAACGCATGGTCTGCGTGCTCCGGTAGCTGCTTGTAGCACCTTCAAGTGGTAGCGATTACAAAAACAGCCTCTATTCACGTCATTTAGTGGCGAGCAGAACAACTTGTCGTTGGTGATATGGAACCAGCGGAATGATTACGCCAGGCAATCGCGTTTAAGGGGAGGCGCTTACTATCTTGCCGCCGGTTCCACATCGCCAATGATCGGTTGTTTTCCTCGCCTCTAGATGGTGCGCACAGAGGCTGTGGTTACTATCGCTCCCGCTTGAACGCGCTGCAAGCAGCCACCGGATAAAGCCCCTATATAATACAGCCTTCTTTTGATCTGCGCCGCTTCCTCCTTTCCCCGTTGGAGCTTCTTGTCTCTTCGGGTGGATGCGGCGAAGAACCGGTTTTCGCCGCTCTGCGCCATTTTGAATGCGCCAAAGAGCCGCTGTGTTGCTTGTTCGCCGCATGCAAAAAGCATTTATCTCAAAAGTAGTTAATGTTTCAAATATCACGATTGTCGCGGCTGTTCTCAAGAGCAGCCCATGTCTGCAACAGCGTGCACGTGGCGCGTGCTCTTTTTGAAATGAACCGCTGGCACTTGCAAAAAAAAAAACACGCTTTGTTGCAATACATATGAGGACTTGTAGAGCTTTTTCATTGCTTTGAGGTGATACTGTGCGTTGAGTTCGGAGAACCTACATTCGGTTCAGAGTTCAGATCACCTACATATCTGCAATGCCCATGAATTAAGACATGTAAAAACTCAAGATTGTGGTTGCAAACTGCGTGGCAGGGGACGAACATCTCAGGATGGTGTACTGCATGCACAAGTCATTGGACAGGCAGAGCAGAGGTACCATGTGAAACGTTACCAAATCCTGAGCGAGCACTTTCATGGACTTTGATGACATTGATGTAGTTACAAAATATAGAGACAGTTTGTACACACCGGAACTATTCCTTCCTAAACGGCGTGGCTTAAGAAACCGCAGCTGCAATTTAAATATCTATTACCGGTTCAATCATTAGTGTGCCAAGCTTACTTAATCTAATTTCAACCATTTCTCAATAAACCCAGCTTTGTATATCAGCGCCAGGTACAGAAGCAAACACTACGCTGTTTAAACGACGTGCGATTCGTTACAACTTGTGCATGACTTGCAGCAGCTCTTCTGCCGTAATATTAATGGTGTCCCCATCTTGTACCCAGTCTTGCTGAGAAAATCAACGCAGAAGAATCATTACATAAAGCCATATGCGAGTCTCGGTACATGGCCATGGCTGCACAGGAGCGGCTGTAACTAATGCAGCACTGCAGCAGAGCCGGTGCGACACCGGCTCGAAAGCTCGTGGCGTGTTACAGGGGGTGCCACTGTTGCAAGCGAAAGAAAAAAAATTGGCAGATCCCACGTACAGCGGGAATCGATGATATGCGAAGCGCGAATGAAAAATGTTCATATGTCACTTTAAAATCAGCACAACGTTACGAGGTGGAGGTAAATGATGCCGTATGGCTTCCGTGTCACGATTATTGTGTTTGGATGTGTCGTTTACCTTTGTCATCTATTCACGTCACGTGGTACCAAATTTAGTATAAGTGGAGCTAGCGAAACGGCCATGAGCATGCTATGAGCGTGGTATGTTGTCACGTTCTTACTTGACACGCGTTTCAGGATTACCATGTTAGCAGCAGTCATATATTTTGTCATTCATTGACGTCACGTAACACCAAATTTAGTATATGTAGAGCTATAAAAACGGTCGCGAGCGCATCATGAAGGGCCCAATATACTCCAATGTAGCCTTTATGCGCACGCACGTTGGGCATGCACAACGATGCTACGTTAGCAAAACGCGAGCACTCTATAGTTTGACGCCAGGCCCGACCAGCGTCCGTCGGCGCAGCCCGACTGCAACAGGCACAAAATGTGACATGCTGCACTTTGCACCGATGCGTTGCCCAGACAACACTGCATCTCTCTCTTTTGGTGACAGAGGGATGCCAGACGCGCTTAAACGCGCATGCGTCAAAGCAACGGAGCGCGGTGCGGCGGTATACGGCTGGACCGGCGCCTGCCGGCGGCTGGCGTGACGCGACGAAATAAACGCCGAAGAGCACGCGCACCGCGTCATGTCGAAATGTATTGGCGCCTTGACTGTGGCATGTAGTCATGTTCTCACATGACACGCATCTCATGATTATTGTTACAAATTGTGTGTAAGAGGAGGAGCGATGTTATCATCATCGGCGATTAGACCGGCATTCAGAATAAAGAAGAGGTGGACGGGTGGGCTTCGCGATGGGCACGGCGGCTCGTCTTTTCCTCAACATTTATCATGTTTGCACCAGTCACATACCTCATCCTCCATTGGCGTCACGTAATACCAAATTTGACATATATAAAGTTAGCGAAACGGCCGCGAGCGCAAAAAGAGAGTAGCATGTAGTCATGCTGTTACGTGACACGCATCTCATGTTTATCATGTTTGCACCAGTCACGTACCTACTTCATCCGCTTACGTACTGTAATACCGAATTTTGTAAATGCGGTGCTATCGAGACGGCTGTGACGCCATCATGAGCGTCACATGTAGTCATGTTGTTACATGACACTCATATCATTATTTTCATGTTTAGGTCTGTCGCTTGTGTTCGCCATGCAATCCTGCCATACCTTACCAGTTTTGCAGCATGCCATGTGAACAAAACCACCGCAAGAGCTGCAGGACAACGAAATGTAAATCATGACATTCATGACATACATCCCTACTGAAACGTTCCGTATACGATGTCCAATAATTCCGTATATTTCCGTAAGAATACATATCTTTCACATATATTTTCCATATATTTCCGTAATATTCTTACAAAAACATACGGAATTATTGGACATCGCATACGAATCATTTAGTAGGGATGTCATGATTTTCATGTTATGACTAGTCAAATATGTTCTTCGTACAGTCATGTTATGCCATACCAAGTTTGGTATCAATACCATTATTCACTAGTTCGAAATTCACAAGTTTGGTCCCTACCCATAGCAAATTATCTTTTCGTCCACATTTGTTTTCTTCCCATGAACAGTGTCAATTTTTATGAAAGGGAACACGCGATCGCGTCGACCGCGTGCTCCGGTGGTAAAGCCCTATACTTCGTAAAAGTAACGCCATCTGATCTCTTCTTTGCCACCTCCTCTCTGGCGCGTTGCTTTTTTTAAATGTGAAGCATTTCTTAGCGAGCTTCAGCAACTTTGAGTCTATCTATCTATCTATCTCTCTATCTATCTATCTATCTATTTAGCGGCCTACGACTTTCAGCTCTCCTGGCCGTTTCGATAATGGTATTGATACCAAACTTGGTATGGCATAACATGACTGACTGTATGAAGAACATATTTGAGTAGTCATAACATGAAAATCATGACATTTATTTCATGAATGTCATGATTTACATTTCACGGTCCTGCAGCTCCTGTGGAGATTTCGTTCACATGGCATGCTGCAAAACTGGTTTAGTATGGCATGATTGCATGGCGAACACAAGCGACAGACCCTATAGCATGAAAATCATGACATGCGTGTCATGTAACAACATGAATACATGCCATGCTCACGATGCGCTTGCGGCCGTTTCGCTAGAGTCACATATCCCAAATTTGGTATTACGGGACGTGAATGAATGACGAAAGTATGTAACTGATGCAAACGTGATAATCACGAGATGCGTGTCATGTAAGAACATCACTACATGCCACGCTCATGATGCGCTATCGGCCGGTCCGCTAGCTTCACACATGTCAAATTTGGTGTTACGTGACGTCAATGGATGTCGAAGCATATGACTGGTGCAAACGTGATAATTCTGACACGCGTGTCATGTAAGAACATGACAACACACTATGCTCATAGCGTTCTCGCGGCCGTTTCACTAGCTCCACACATACCAAATCTGGTATCACGTGATGTGAATAAATGATGAAGGTAAACAACACATCCAAACATAACAATCATGACACAGAAGTCATGTATGGCATAATTTACTGCCACTTGGTAACGTTGTGCTGATTTTAAAGCGACATTTCAACATTTCTCACTTCTGCATCGCATATAACCGATTCCCATTGTACGTGTGATCTGCCATTTTTTTAACTGTCCTTTCACTGTTTGCTTTTAGCTTTCTTTAATGATGGCTAGTCACCCTCGCCAGTAATATACAGCTACTTTAGTGTCACAGTTAAATGTTTCAGAAATGTAAAACTGGCTCCGTCACCCGTCTTGAGGCCGGATCTTCGTTTCCTTGGTTCACAAAGCCTCTTGTGTCTCACTGCAAGGGATTCATCTGTTTAGAGACGTGACACGCTCAAACGCGTACCAGCTGAATGTTTTCTTTTCACGTGAACGACGAAACTCTTGCCCTTCTCATTACAATTGCAGGCACAGAGTCGAGTGACACGCTTAACGGAATGCAACGCGTAGTCAGAGCCCGCGATCATTGTGATTCCTTCAGCATAAAGGATGACACCAGGTACATCATTATGGGCAAGGACCCCAAGTACAAGGAGGAAGATGACTTCGGACGTGAACAGTGAGTGTCTTATAGCCATGGTGTAATAAAACACAGTATCGAAAATTCTGCGCGAGACCTAGACAATGAAAAGAAGTATAGGTCTCATGCAGAAGTTGCTATAGGCAACGTGAAACGCTCCTCGGTGGACTTCTGTTGACGACGGGCAAATCACGGCGAGCTTAAACAGCTTCGCTTTTACAACAGTTTCTTCGTTGTAATTACGGATTTAACATCCCACAGTTTGATTCAGCCACTGGTGGGGTAAAAGGCTGTGACGCTGATTTATACTAACAAAAGTAACTCTACTTCGTTCTTTCATGTTTTGTGTTATTGACGAAATTGAAGCTGCTTTAAATAAAGATGACAGTGTGTGGCAGATGTGACGTTTACGGAAAGGTCAGTGACTAAAGAACTGCAACTCGCCTATTTTACCAGCAACAGCGTTGTCGAAAAGCGTTTAGAAAACACTGAAATTTAATCTGACCTACCGCCGTTTAAGCACGCCCTCTTCATCTGCTGCTCAACGTACCTTCATTTTGATCGAGAACGTCGATTTCTACTACATGCACCACTCTTTTGTTTTTCCTTCATAGCTATGTCTATGTGATAGACAGCGACTCTCTCGTGATCAACCACTCGCAGAAGAGGAGAGGTTCCAAAAGGACCAGAAAGCCAGGAAGACTCGGACAAAACGCTGCAGGAAATGCGAACAACGAGCGTTGTGACTGGGATAAGCTTGTCAATTGGTTCGTTCAAGAATTCTCCAACGAGGATACGCGCTGCTTCACCTGAGCACTCGTTGAGTTGCCTTTTTTTTTTGTTTTGTTAAGGCTGCGTGTACAGCCATTAGCAAATAAACCCCCAGAAGAAAGAGAATTAGTATTTATTTATATTAAGTAAGGTTCGTTGGGCCGGTAGCCCTGAATGATCGACGTTCTAGTTCAGGACACCGCAGCCGCTGCTCTCGCCCTCTGGACTAGGGCCCTCGGGACTTCCAGTCCAGAGTTGCCACGGAGAGTGGTCTCCCGTGCCTTTCGTCCAGGAACGTTCTATATGTATTTGGTTTCTTGGACTTTGACACAGTGACCGTAACTCCAGAATGCTCCTGCTGTCAACCACCAATGATTAATGCAATGATCAAGACATCGCCATTGCGCACTGTGTGTGTGTATGATCTGTCCCACGAATATGCAGGTTCTAGTCAAAGGACTATGACAATACATGTTGCGATTGAATGGAGCGAGCTTCAGTTTAAAGATAGCTTAATGTTTCATTATTTTGTGTCTTCGGTATCACAATTCAAGTCCGATTAAGCACATTACTTGCACGAGAACGGTGGCTTAATTAGCCAATCACAATATTTCCTCAATGCACGTTTAGAACTGCCTACTTTCAGGCATTTATGGCAATCGACGAATTCAAAGTAGGAGAGTTCTTGATACGTGTTTCCTTGCCAACCAACATATGAGATACCACTTTGAATATTATCAGTATTAAAGATGTTCTCATATCTTCAGTGTAGTATTAAAGATGTTCTCATATCTTCTGTGTATATATCTCAGTAAGGTTCATTTGAATGCAACAATCAGTAACATCAAAGGAAATGATGCAGAAACTCCATTAAACTTGTGTGCCAATAAGAAGTGTGAATAAAAACCTTCCGAACTCGACACGGCTGATACTCTTATCGAACCCCTCAGGGTATTCAATATAGGCCATGAAATTGTTCGAGTGTGAACTGTCGTGGGCATATCGGCAATGTCTTTAGGATTGAGAGGCGATACATCTCGACCGGGAGTTGTTAGTGACTCGTAAGCGAAAGTGTTTATTGTTGGAAACTCCGAGATTGCAGCCTTCCCTGTAACGTCGTTGCCAGGCAGCCTCGACACGGCGTCTCTCGTCTAATATCAAGCGGTGGCCAGCGTTTCAAACACCACCGTGGAAAGCACGTCGCGTAACCACCGAAACACATTTGCTAAGTTGGAATTCTGCTGATGCGTACAATTCCTAATGGCGGATGATTTATTTATTTATTTATTTATTTATTTATTTATTTATAGAATACTTCAGACTATTGTACAAGCAGGGAGGGTCATTAGATGGTACAACAGTGAGCATGCTGAAGTAAAAAATTTTTAAACAAAATTCATAAAAACGACATGAAAAGAACAAAACAAAAACAATAATACAGAAACAGATTTGATATGTCCAGCGAATCGCTACAAAACAAATTGTGATGACGTTTATTCGAGCAGAGAAGTCGCAACGAGGTCGCGACGGAAAGTGGGCGTACGGCAAGTCTTGCAAAGGCGGCACAAACTCTCGCGCAAGCAGAGCACGGGGCTTTTCGTTGTCTTCCGAAGGCGTATACGCGTTGGTGCGTATGCTCCACTACAATACCCCCGGGGTGAAGGGTAGCCATCCTGGCGACTCAGGGAGTAGGCACAATGAGGGGGTCGTAGTAGGGCTTGAGACGGTCGACGTGTACGGTCTCGCGTCCTCGACGGCGCAAATCTAGTGATTGTGGTAATGGCTTGATGATGTAATTCACCGGGGAGGTCGCATCAATGACACGGTACGGACCATGGTACCGGGCCTGAAGTTTAGAAGACAGGCCAGGAACGTGCGGGGGCACCCAAAGCCACACAAGGGAGCCAGCACGAAACGTAGGAGCTATGTGGTGAGCGTCGTCGTGTCGAGTCTTTTGTAGACCTTGAGCCTCACTTGTCAGAGACCGAGCCAACTGACGGCAGTCTTCAGCATATCTGGCGACTTCCGAAAGCGGGGAGCACTCAGATGCATCAGGGCGGTACGGGAGTATATTGTCGAGTGGGTGGGAAGGTTCGCGGCCGTACAATAGAAAGAACGGGGAAAAACCGGTAGTCGCTTGCGTCGCGGCGTCATAAGCGAAGGTAACAAAGGGCAATACAGCGTCCCAGTTAGTGTGGTCGGAGGAGGTGTACATCCTCAGCATGTCGCCAAGTGTGCGGTTGAACCGCTCAGTAAAACCATTAGTCTGTGGATGGTATGCGGTAGATTTCCGGTGGATAATGTTGCATTCAGCGAGGATAGCCTGGATGACCTCAGACAGGAACACGCGACCCCTATCACTGAGTAATTCCCATGGAGCACCATGGCGTAGAATGAAGCTGCGGAGAATGAAGAGTGCAACTTCGTGGGCGGTCGCTGCCGGTAGAGCTGCAGTCTCAGCGTAGCGTGTCAGATGATCGACTCCGACAATAATCCACCGGTTTCCAGAGCTACTATATGGGAGGGGGCCGTAGAGGTCTATACCCACGCGGTCGAATGGGCGAGCCGGGCACGGGAGCGGCTGTAACATGCCAGTAAGGTGCCGCGGAGGTGTCTTGTTCTGTTGGCAAGTGGTGCAAGACTGAACGTATTTCTGCACAAAGCGATACATTCCTCGCCAGTAATATCGTTGGCGTAGCCTTTCGTAGGTTTTCAGGACACCTGCGTGAGCACTTTGGGGATCTGCATGGAAATTCATGCAGATGTCAGAGCGCATATGAGTTGGGACAGCAAGGAGCCACTTCCGACCACCAGGCATGTAGTTGCGGCGGTACAGAATGTTGTCTCGTAAGGAAAAGTGGGCTGCTTGCCGGCGTAGCGCTCTCGTGGAAGGGACAGCAGACAGATCGGTAAGGTAGTCGACTAACAAGGCAAGGTATGGGTCTTTACGCTGCTCCGAAAGCATGTCAGTGGTGTCAAGTGGTGACAAGGCGGTAAAAGGGGGTGACAGAGAAGCCACATCTGGTGTTAATGGCGATCGGGAAAGTGCATCGGCGTCCGCATGCTTGCGACCGGAACGATATACGACACGGATGTCGTATTCCTGCAATTGAAGTGCCCAACGCCCCAGACGTCCGGACGGGTCTTTCAAGGTGGACAGCCAACATAGAGCGTGGTGGTCTGTGACCACGTCGAAAGGACGGCCGTAAAGGTATGGGCGAAACTTCGTAAGCGCCCAGATTATGGCCAAACACTCCTTCTCTGTCACGGAGTAATTCAATTCAGCCTTCTTAAGAGCGCGACTTGCATAAGCGACTACGTATTCGGTTTGGGTGCCTTTCCGTTGTGCCAAAACTGCGCCAAGATCAACGCCACTTGCATCAGTGTGAATTTCTGTGGCAGCAGTGAGGTCGTAGTGGCGAAGAATAGGTGGCGAGGTGAGCAGGCGGCGCAGCTGGTGAAATGCGTCGTCACATGCAGGTGACCATGCAGATATACCTTTGCTGTTGGAAAGCAGACCAGTCAGAGATGCGATGACGAACGCGAAGTTGCGCACGAAGCGACGAAAGTAAGAGCAAAGACCAACGAAACTTCTTAGGGCTTTCAGTGATGTGGGCATATGGAAGTCAGCGACAGCTCGAAGCTTATCGGGATCCGGAAGAACACCGTCTCTTGTGATGACGTGTCCCAAGATGGTTAGTTTTCGGGCTGCGAAGTGGCACTTCTTGGTGTTAAGTTGTAGGCCTGCAGAAGCTAGACACGTCAGAATCTCGTCGAGACGACGAAGATGTGTCGGGAAATCAGCTGAAAAGACTACGATGTCATTTAGGTAACACAAGCAAGTTTCCCACTTGTGGGCCCGCAATATGGTATCTATCATGCGCTCAAACGTCGCAGGCGCGTTGCAGAGCCCAAATGGCATGACTTTGAACTCATATAGGCCATCCGGCGTTACAAAGGCTGTTTTAGGGCGATCACATTCAGCCATTGGCACCTGCCAATACCCAGAACGCAGATCCAAGGATGTGAAGTACTCGGCGCCTTGTAAACAGTCAAGAGCATCGTCTATTCGTGGTAGCGGGTAGACGTCTTTCTTTGTAATCTTGTTTAAGCGGCGATAGTCCACGCAAAATCGAACGGTGCCATCTTTTTTCTTTACGAGAACCACGGGTGACGACCAAGCGCTTTGAGAAAGCTGTATGACTCCATGTTTAAGCATGTCATCTACTTGCTCCGTAATGACGCGGCGCTCTTCGGCAGAAACGCGGTAAGGACGCTGTCGCAGAGGCGAATGTGAGCCGGTGTCAATAGTATGAGTGACAGTCGTGGTGCGGCCCAAAGCAGGTTTCTGAAAGTCGAAAGAAGAGCGAATCTTGTTAAGGAGAGCAACAAGTTGGCTGCGATGCGAGGGGGGAAGGTCTGCGTCAATAGCATTGTCGAAGGCTGGTGAGCTTGATGGCTCAGACGCCTGAGTGATTGCGGCAATGTGACATGGGGATTCGTCGGGATGAATAAGATCATCGATAAGGTCGGCAGGTTGTACATATCCTAAGGTTTCACCACGGAGTAAGCCAATGGGGTAGTTGCAGTGGTTGGTAACCAGCATTACGGTTAAACCAGACGCAATTGTAAGAACGGCAAATGGGAGCACGATGCCCTTGCGTTCAGTAAAAACAGGGGATGGCGTAAACACCACCGTGGCGTCAGGTTGCGCCACACATGAAAGGCTAATAGGGACTGAAGCTTCCGGAGGCAAGGTGATGTCGTCGTCAGCGATGAGTTTGCAGAGCAGTGGTGAGTGGTCGGGCGATGGAAATTCACAACTTGGCACTAGGGACACTTCCGCACGGCAACAATCGATGATAGCTTCATGACCTGATAAGAAATCCCAACCCAGGATAAGGTCATGAGAGCAAGATGGGAGTACAAAAATTGGACGATGTACAAAACGTCTTGGATGACGACGCGCGCCGTACACACAGCCGAGGGATGAATGCGTTGCGCGCTAGCCATGGACAGCACATGCCACAGAGAGATGTGGTCACTTTCTTCAGTCTGCGACAAAATTTTGCATTCATCACAGAAACGGCGGCCCCAGTATCAATTAACGCTTGTGTGGCGACTCC